TTCTCTGAACTGCTTAGAAAGTTAACAACCGGTTCTCCCGAATAGGTGCGAGCTGGCTGAATCACACCACTGCCACCGATCCATCACTACCACCACCATCTGACTCACCCTTCTCTGTCTGGTCTGTATTTGCTTCTCTGCAGTTGCTTCCATGCCCAAGATTAATTTCCACGTTCCAGAAGGGAGGATGGAAATCTTGGATGGGAATGTTTCACGGCAGCTAATTGGACAATGAAGGAAGCCTGCAGGAAGCCTAAGGCATGGGAGTAAAATCTTGGGAGAGTACATCTGAGGAGAAATGGGGTATGGCAAAGGGGCCCAAGCAGGGGAAGAAACTTCCTGAGTTGAAAAGGAGACAAAGAATAAGAAATGTGCTGAGAAGTAGAGAGGATACACCCTTGCCTCTCTTCTGACTACTGTAGCATATCTCCAGGACTGTTCTTGTGAGGTCCTTTTGTGGGGAGGAGGGGTAGAAATAGGAAGATGCAAATAATGCACCTGAAATGTACATTTACAAACCTAGACAAGACAAACATCTATCTCTAATATCAGACCGCTCTTTATAAACAAAATTGTTTTTGCAACCTTCTTCTTCTTAACCAACATTCTATAAAATGTTTACAAGAAAAGAAAGAAAAGTAATAGGTCCATGTCACGAAAACATGAGATTGGAATAATGTGATGTATTTTGGATGCTGGGGTTTCTCCCATGCAGAAGACTGGAACTCACATGAGGGGTTTATTTTGGGGAGAAATTCATGTCCTTCAAACACAGTTTGACAATAATATTTAGGCACAATGGGCTTTAAAGAGTTTTGGAGTTGCATCCAAATATTTTCTCTGCCAGAAAGCCGAGAGGAATGCGCTGTATGAAAAGATGCCCTTTATGTTCCAACAAAATATTTTATTAAAGCACTTCTTCTGATGAACACTTTTTATTAATTCTATACTTAGCTTATTGAAGGGATAAGCTTTCATGAGCTGCAGCCCACTTCATCATATGCACACATCCGCTGGCTAGACTGATATAGGATTTAATAAATTAAGGAAATGTGATGAATTAACACAACTCTCCTTTGACAATTGGGAGTTATCTTTATTGTGAAAGAAATGAACTGTGCCATAACCACATTTGTAACACTTGAGAGCCAGGAACTGGNTAAACCACAATATGGTAGCGAAATGGGCCAACTCACCACAGCCAAACCACTCCAGGGCTCATATCATCACCCTTTCTGACCTTCCCAGCTACGTCCGACAAGCAAAACCAATGGGAAAAAATGGATTTGCTTATTGACTATGTTATCTACTTAACAACTGAAGTGATTCACTCAACGACCAGGCCCAAAAAAGATTGTAAAATCGGGTGTAAATCATTTGACAGCGACTTAGCTTTGTGAGCTGCCCAGTCATTTGCTGAAATGGATGGATACAAGAAAGAAAGAAAGAAAGAAAGAAAGAAAGAAAGAAAGAAAGAAAGAAAGAAAGAAAGAAAGAAAGAAAGAAAGAAAGAAAGAAAGATGGAAGGAACGAATGAAGGAACAAAGGAACAAAGGGAAGAAAGAAAGAAAGAAAGAAAGAAAGAAAGAAAGAAAAGAAATATGGAAGGAAGTAAAGAAGGAAAGAGAAAAAGCAAGGAAGGAAGGAGGAAGGAAGGAAAGAAAGAAAGATGGAAGGAATGAATGAAGAAAGGAACAAAGGAAAGAAATAAAGAAAGAAAGAATAGAAAGATGGAAGAAAGTAAAGAAGGAAAGAGAAAAAGAAAGGAAGGAAAGAAGAAGAAATGGAAGGAAAGAAAGAAGGAAAGAAAGGAAGAAAGAAAGATGGAAGGAACAAATGAAGGAAGGAACAAAGGAAAGAAAGAAAGAAAAGAAAAATGGAAGGAAGTAAAGAAGGAAAGTGAAAAAGGAAGGAAGGAAGGAAAGAAAGAAGGAAAGAAAGGAAGAATGAAAAGAAAGATGGAAGGAAGGAAAGAGAAAAAGGAGGGAAGAAGGAAGGAAAGAAAGAAGGAAAGAAAGAAAGATGGAAGGAATGAAGGAAGGAAGGTACAAAGGAAAGAAAGGAGGAAAGAGAAAGAAAAGAAAAATGGAAGGAAGTAAAGAAGGAAAGAAAGGAAGGAAGGGAGAAGGAAAGAAGGAAAGAAAGAAGGAAAGAAAGGAAGAAAGAAAGAGAAAAGAAAAATGGAAGGAAGTAAAGAAGGAAAGAGAAAAAGAAAAGGAAGGAAGGAAGGAAAAAGGAAGAAAGGAAAGAAAGAAGGAAAGAAAGGAAGAAAGAAAGAAAAGAAAGATGGAAGAAAAGAGAAAAAGGAGGGAAGAAGGAAGGAAGAAGGAAAGAAAGAAAGAAGGAAGGAAGGAAAGAAAGAAAGAATGAATGAATGAATGAATTCTGGTCTCAGTTATGGCAGTCAGTCAAGGGCTACAGGTTAGTGTGGGATCCCAGCCGTTCAGATTTTCAACAAACAGGTCAAACCTTCAGCTTCATCCCTCTTGCTTCCTTGCCTCACTCTCATGCGTCTACAACAGGGA